CAAAAGAAAAATATTTATATATTTTTATTTACTATTAACCACCTCACTCATCATCCAAGCAGACATCATTTATCAACTAAAGGATATCTATCCATATAAAGAAAGGTTAAACTCAAATATTGTCCCTGACTCCTCAGGACCTTTAACTCCTGATGCCAACAAACAGCATCATACTGTAACTGCAGAACAAATAGACCACTGAAAAAAGCTTTCTGCATCAAGCTGTAAAACTCCTGAGCCACTGTTAAGAAATGCACTATATATTATTGCAGCTATTTCATTCTTTGCATGTATATTTTTTGAAAGAGAACATTCATTGACATAGCTCATATTTGCAGAAAAAAAAATGCAGGATCATAACTGAGGCGAACTTCCATCCTCTGTGCCCTGCTGAGCCAACCCCAGCTACTTGCCCAACACACTCACTTAACAAACCTACTGGCTAAAAAAAAATCTGTTACTTTTCATTATAAAAAAAATATATAAAAACATATCTAGCCTCCAAAACCCACTTGTTCCATCCCTCCCGCATGCCTATATTCAGGCACCCACACCGAACTCCTTCCTCTACATCCAGCCTCATAACTTAACCTCCTGCACATTTGTCATTTGTCAACATAAATTGTAAACATTAGGAACATATTTCACCTCATGTTTTATTTTTTTTTTATATCTTTTAGATGATCTATTAAACAATCCCAGATACGGTGTCTTGTATACTATATATTTATTTTTTACAATAATGTGCAATTTTAAATTAATACATTGTGTTTAAATTTTAAGACGTACACACAAATTATTTTTTTGATAAATCACATATGCCTAAAGTTTCAAATTCTATGCAGTCACTAAAACTCAAATAATTATCTTTACTTACAGAGTTTAATATCAAAGAATTCCAACTGAACCACATCAAATTAGCTAATTTGAACATTCAGAAGTTCCTTGTGTTAAGAGTCACATAGTTTCCTTGTAGAATAACACTGACACAAAAATAAACAGTAGAATCACAGAAAATGTTAATTACCAATTTATTTAGTTAGAAATTAAAATCAATTTGTCTTCACCCCCAGTAATTCTGTCACCTTTTTAGAGTCAGCATGCAGTGAACAGGTCTACTACTTCTATACCCAAAATTAGTTCACAAGTTCTTCTTTTAGCATATATCTATATACTAAGAACAATACGATATGTTTTCTCTCTTCATATCAAATCAACTGAAGCTGCTTTAAATGCGCAGCTGGACAGATGTTCACCAGCCACGGGTTGGCGTCCACTTCCCCAGCAGGCAACCCTCAGAGTGCACGTGGTACACAGGGTGCATCATGGCTGTCGCACATGACTGTAAAGAATGGGGGGGGAAGATGGTTAATAGAAAGACACTTTAAAGCCAAATGCTTTGAGAAACAATTTTACATGTTTATTTTAAATGGGGAAATGCATATTCAACGGCGTAATAATATGAATATGCCAGAATTAGTAAAATGGCCTCTTTATATCTGTACTCCCCAACAGGAAGGAGACAAAACAGCAAACAATAAACCATTCAACAATCTTTAACAAAAACCAATGAATTCACAGGAGGGGAAAAAATGATAATGGTTGATATAAAAAATGTCTAAACATCACACAGATTAAAATAGCCCTGACTCTGAAAAAAACTAATACAAAAGCTATGTTTCCATTTTTTTTTTAACTTTGGGAGAGCGGAATACTTCCAGTCAGGAATCCCACCTATCTTATCTCATTAGAAACAAAACCTTTTGTGTAACGAAAAAGGAAACTACATCTAATAAACAACTATGGTATAAATATGGGAGTCTGAGCTCTGACATGCAGAGCATCTTAATAATCTATATCCTGCCATTTTAATAAACTGAGTGCATTAATCCTTTGGTAATCTTTAAGTTAAGCTTTTGTTCCCCACAACCAACTGCAATGAAAAAGGCTTGTTGTCACAGTTCTTATGTATACTTGTATAAAAAAAATCTGTATAGAATTTATAAATAATGCACGAAGAGTGCATTTTTACATTTTTTTTATATATATAATTTTGCTCTAACCCACGTACTTTATTATTTTACCTTCTCATATCTTGTTTTCTTTTTCAAATGGAAAGAACTCAGTTGGCCTAATTCGGTGGTGTCCAACCTTTTTGGCACATAGACCAAGATTGTTAAATCAGGAGTACTTTTGGGCAAAGCGGCTACAAAAAAGCACATTATTATGAGAACTTTTTATCACCTGCTCCTTTATAAACAGTGTGCAATACTTTGATTATTGGAATGTTTTATGTTGAACAGGAATGTGTATTTTTTTGCAATCTTTGCATTTTATTTCAAGCTGGACTATTTTTGTGTATTCTTCTAAAAGACAAATATTTGCATTTTAACAACCATTTCAGCGCAATAAAGGGCTTTCTTTTCTTAAAGTCACTGGGAGAATGCTTGGTTGTAAAAAAAAAAAAAAGTCTAATGTGTTGTACCTAACATTTCAATTTGTCTGCAATAACTTTCTTCTAATTGTAAAAAAAACTTTCCATTTCCATCAATGGCAACCTCCAGGCCTCATTCAACAAAATAGTTTTTCAGCCACATAATATGATTTTGATACAATCATAAACAAAAAGTCTTGAAAGTTAACAAATAAAAACTATTTACATTATATGTATTTCCCCCCCTAAAGATTAAATACATATTTTAGCTGTTGAGATGAAAAAAAAAATGTTAAGCAAGAAAAATGGCTTATATTTAGCCAAGCCATGCTCCATTCTAAGGATGTAAGGATAATGCTCAGAGTCATTGTGTAGAAACTCAAGAGGTCATTTCTATCAACAGAGTCAAAAACAAAGCAACCGTACTGACGTGGTAAGGGATCAAGGTGAGCAGAGAGCCAATGGGGTATTTGCTGTAGTCCAGTGGACCTGAGATGGGCTCCACTCTCCCGTGCTCTTGAGTCATAGACAACAACCTAGAGAAAACATCTCTGAGTTATTCTGCCCCACTTAGATTCACTTTGGAGATCAGAGAATAAGAGAGAAGAGGTTTTACTTAAGGTTTGGATGCCCTTCGATCACAGCATATCCAGTGGGAAGTTTTCCAGCTCCCTCCAAACTGAAAAGAACAATGTCAGAAAGATTACTGGACATGTTTCCACTAGAAAAGCTGCATGGTTTGCATATTTCTGTCGATACTGTTGATTTAAATAAATACACCACCATTGAAGAGGTCTATTAAGGCTACCTGATTCCAGCCCATCCACAGTCGATCAGGAGCTGGTTTCTGTGAGGACAATGTCCAATGACTCTCGTCAAAACCCTCACAGCCACATCATCCAGACTACAAGATCCAATAATGGACTGCATGGCATCTAAAACCAGACAAGAAAATCTTTTTTTACTTTTCATCATTCTGAAACCAGCTACCATTAACCTACATGACAGCCCACCGTAGAAGACGTAGTTTCCAGGATGCACCTCGCTAAGCTTTCCCATGTCCTTGACAGGATGACTACAGGAAGGGGTGGAGCCAATGCTGGACTTACAACTGATGCCAACAGCCTTCAATCTGCCAGGTGAAAACATAAGTTGATTTTTTTTTTAAAGCAGGGTTGTTGTGCTGAGAATTATTATTCTATGATATTTTTTTCTTTCTATTTAATACACAGACACCTCTAATATTAATACATTTCCATCAGTTCATTCTAACTGTCCTGGACTGAGGAGGAGTAGTTTTAATTTACTCATTGAAGTGATTCACAATTAAAATAAAAATTTACTCTTTATGTTCTTTTTGTTTAATTTATAAGGAGTATTTTTTTGTTTTTCTTACACCAAGGAACAAAAACACAGATAACATTGACATTTTTGAATGTATTTGAAGTGTTTTTGAATTGAACTGAATTTTCTTGCTATATGTAGTGAGGACCATGTATTGAATCTCATTGACTTCCATTGATTTTCATTCATTTATAATATTTTAGATGCCCTAACTATAAAAATAACCCAAAATCAAACCATTACCCATTAGCACCTTACTAACATCAACCTAAACTTAAAGGTACGCAGTCAGGTTATATGACATTTTTTAAATGTTTACACAAATAACTTTATCTGTTTGCATTCAAAGTTTTTCCTGAAAGATTACCACATCCTGCTGATTTATTTTCTATTCTTTTATTTTTGTGTTTTACACTTTGTTTTTTGCTCAGTTTTTTAGTCAGTTGTGTATATTTAAAATAGCAAATGCATCAGTAAACTGTGCATGCTAACAGAGGGTAAACAAGAAACTAGCCCACTGCAGCTACTGTAAGCCAGGTAGCACCTCCCAGCAAAGGGAAAAAAAAAAAAAAAAAGAAAAGTCGAAGTTTCAGAGTGAAAAATATATGTAAAAAAATAATTCCAAGAGGGATGAAACTCAAACAGCACTGGGAATAAAGGACAAGATGTTGGTGTTAACTATAGCAAGAGGCTAAATCTGCCTTGGCATTCAGATGTTGATGGAGTGATAACAATGCTATTCTAAGCCTCTATAGTCTAAGTTAAATATTATAAATAGACAGACAGATATCAGTTGGTCTTCTACCACACCAAGCTGTCGCTTTATAGTGATGCATTACAGAATAGTCTCTAATACTGCGTTCACACCGGACGCAGCAGGCGCAGCGAGTTTACATGCAAAGTCAATGGTTGATGCGCGTCAAGGCGCAGCAAAAGGTCCCGCAGCGCGTTTTGAGCAGCAGGCGCAGCGCGTCTGAGCAGCTGAAGCAGCGTGCCGTGAGCGTTTATGCATCTGACACACGCGAAACCCCGCAAGCGCGCTGCTGCTCGAGATGGAAAAATTTAACTTTTGCTGCTCGACGCGCCGAATCAACCAATCAGAGAAGCTGATCTGGGAGCTGGCAGGGAGACAGACACATCGCTGATGATACAGAGCGCTATGATCGCTCCTCTGAAACAGTTTATTAACACCTAAATTAACTTAAAATGCTGAAATCTGCCGGCAGAACATGTTCGCTTTTATTATACTGCTGCCTGCAGTTTGGATTACGTACATGAAAACCGCTTCCAGCCGCTGAGGCGAACTTGGAGGAGGCGACCGGGCCATAGGCTGCTGTTGAATGGGATTCCTACTGACAGAACGCCGGTATGTGGGGGTCTGAGCGGCTCAGAGAGAAATAATATTGGAAGATGGGATGGTAATCTGGATGAACTGACTGCACTGATTAAGTTTTCAGGTGGTTTTTCCCACTGAAAAACATATTAAAACTACTTTATTCCCACTGATCACAGCAAATATAGCTGCAAGGCAAATAAAGGATAGGGTAGCTCCACCTGACGCGCGTCAGACACACTTTTTGACCGCGCAGCCAGAGCAGCAAAGCTGCTTCAGCCGCGCATCAGAACTAAACTGGTACAAGCAGCAAAAAGGAAACAGCAGATGCGATTTTGCTGCTCCTGCTGCGTCCGGTGTGAACGCAGCATAATAAGTAGCTGCCTAAATTATCGCCTGTTGCATTACTGCCAACAGATGGTGCCATGTCTGTTTATGTCTGTTTATTTGATCATTGTGTCTGGTCCTCTCATTGCTGCCATAATAGGAGCACTGACATGTAATTGATATAATTTACTGCATGTGCTTTAATCAGTCTTCATCCTCTGCACACCTCTGTTATAATCAATTATCTCACCTCTCCATGAACTGCAGGGTAAAGTTGGTGGTTTCTTGGGCGACAGCCTGTATTTGCTCCACTCCCCTACAGTTGTAGGTGTTCCCACAGTGGGCGTACACTCCTGTTAGCTCCACCCCATCTGTCTCAGCGATGGCTTGGGCCAGTTGGAGTGCCTCAGGCTCTGAATGCAGGATGCCAGCTACAACAAAGAGCAAACCCACAGCCAATGAATATTCAGCAGTAATGGCGTCGTTTCCCCAACATGTGTTCCTCACCTCTCCCATTGCCGCAGTCCAGTTTTAGCCACACGTGCCACTGCCTGCCACCACTCAGGGGCCTCTTTTTGAGCTGGTCCAGGGCATCAGGATGATCAAGCAGAACTTGGAAAAGATCCAGTCTCTCTGACAAGGCAGCACAGCGCTCCACCTATCAACACAGAAAGCAACAGATATTTCTTCGGAAAGGGTTAGGAATATTGTGTTACTTTTTGTAACAAACTGTTGTAGCACTTTAAAATTATGTTGCAAAAGTATTCACATGCTGGAAATGTCCTCGCTTCATAATGCTGCCTCTACCATGTTTTAAAGTAAGCCTTGTGCAGGGGCGGATCTAGAAAAATATTTATGGGGTGGCAAGAGGGGGGCAGGAATTTTTTAGGGGTGGCA